TACAAAGTGATATTTCAGAAATGGCATTTTTTAGAAGTGGCATTTCTAAAAAATTCTCAATTTTATTCTACTTTTATTTGTCATGGGTTGACAAAGTGGTGAACCCAAGAATTATATAAAAAAAATATAATGGTTTTGCTTGAGAATCAAAATATAATGATATTACGATACATTTGGAAAGAGTTATGTGTAAAGAATAAAAATTACTTGAGAATCAAATTAAAAGGGATAAAAATGACAGACTTAAAAAATGGTTTTGCCACTACATCTTTTGAGCCTTTCTTTTATAAATCTAAAGGGAGAGTTACTCTTCTCTTAATCCGTTGCTAATCAAAGTGTTTCTTTTTATCTTTGGGAGTCCTAATTAATGAAATCATATCTCATAGCAGAGAATAATGGTTTACATATTAATCTCTCTTGTTCAGAACATCTCTTTTTTGTATTCTTCTTACCAGAGATGGTGACAAGGGGGAGCTATTATGTACAATGGTAGAAGAAGACAACAAAAATCGTTGTTTTGTACATTCACTACCGAGGGGATGATCTTATTGATTTTATAACTGAAGAGAGATGTAACTAAAAAATAGAGAAATCATTACAAAAGCTAGATTTGATTTGCAACAGATCTCCCAACTAACGAAACGCATAGACCGAGCACAAATGACAGTGCACATTTGCGACAGACCGCCCAACAGAGCTACCTTCTCTCATTATTTCTCTCTATCAATTCAAAGATCCTCTCCATTTTGCCGTCTTCCCACACGCCTATATCTATCTTTCTTTTCTTTGCGGCATCTTCTTCTTCTAGGCTGCAATTGTTCTTCAAAGATGGTGAAGAGATGCTTGAATTGAATAGCTTTACATTGTTAGCATTAAGATCCTCTACATGGTCTACAAAAGCGTAAACACTACTATGACTCCCACCAACTCCTTGGATTTCAACACGTTGGAAAGTGTTCCTTTCAGGGTTGAAGTAGAAAACATAAAACTGGTCTTTAGATGTATAATTCATCGACAAAACAATGTCACCTAAAGCAGTCATCCCAACGACGGAAACATTTTGTTGCGATCAACAACTTTGTCTCCGGCAAAGTGTAGAAATATTTAGACCATTCTTGTTTCTCAACATCTTCTCGAACCCACATACGCAACTCAATGGCATCAACCTTATCATACTTCAACCAAATCACACCTAAATTACCCTTATAGTTTATCAGTTTAGCAAACCAATTACATAAGCATTCCGCATGAAGAAACTTGAATTTCTCAGACCTAACATCAAAACAAACTATTACGGAACACTTTCCATCGATGTTGGCACAAGCACCGTAATAAATAACCCCATTGATGCATATCCCATCACTAAGAGGATAATGGTTTAAGGGACATTGGATCTTCCTCCACCTCGATTCTCCCGTTCCTAATGTCATAATTCTATGATCATCATTCGTATCACTATATGGATAACACATGCATAATACTTTGAATTGCTTGTCAATCGGATCAAACCCTAAAAACCTAGACGAATTTCTGTACCTGATAGGTAAGATCGCACACTGTCCGGTGTTAGGGTTAAATATCATCTCCTTATGAGAGATATAGACCAAACCTGAGACATATCTAAAAGAAAATTGTTGATATCTAGAGAACTTGGTATGAAAATCAGTGGCTACTACAGGAGACGAGGACGTCTCATATGGATTATGAAGCTGAGGCGCTGAGTATATGCTCCCGTCACCGTCTCCTTCGACGGCGAATAATATACGTGGATGAGTCCGTGATCTAGTCAAGAACAATTCGCTGAAATATGGACGGTGAAGCATAGACCCCCATAGCTTCGACAAACAACAAAACCTTCTTATTGACTTTGCAGGCAGTCTTGAGAGTATTTCGATAATGAGATCAGTTGGGAGGGGTTCCAAGTTTTTGCCTCTTTTCAACGACTTGAAAGAACGTTTATTGCCTTGGGACATGGTTGGCTTGTGTTGCAAGTAAGCTCGTTCTAACTGATTTACACCGGAGGAGAAGAATAGAAAACCCTAATGAAGTTAGAAATGAGGAAAGACTAATGTGGGATGAGCAAGGCACGTGATATATAAGTTACCACATCTAGATTTTTGTTAGGGGCGTGTAAGGTTTCGTCATTATCTTCATTTAAATAATTAAAAGAC